AGATTTTAGGAGGAAACTCACGCGGGCACAGGGAGAACATGCAAACTTCAGGCAGGTGGTGCCATGCTTGGGATTTGACCCAACAACCCAAGTACTGCCAGGCCGAAGTGCTAACCATTTAACCACTCCGCTGCCCTTTCTCTCCTTCCCCCCAGTGTGCTTTTGCACATCCATGCTGTATTTATGGATTTTTCATATAATAAAACAATTACATTAAGACCAAGGGAGTGCAACCAGCTAGAAAAATAGCCTCATTTGTGCTCCTGAAGAAGAGATCCCCCGAGAGGCAATTGGATATTCACTGGATCAACTTTACCTATAAACGTTAGTATTCAGTTATATTCTGTGTATCTAAAAAAGAATCCAGGACTTTCCTACAGCAATCCACTGAGCTGGCCACAACCAACTCTTGAGGGAGTCTATTCCCACATTTTCACAGCTCTCACTGTGAAGAAACCTTTCCGTGTTTGGAGATTACATTTCTTTTCCTCCAGACGTAAAGAGTGCCCCCTTGTCCTCTGTGATGACCTCAGGGGGAATGACTACACCGAGTTCACTATATGAACCACTGATGTATTATACATGGAGATCATATCCCCCCTTATGTATTATACATGGAGATCATATCCCCCCTTATGTATTATACATGGAGATCATATCCCCCCTTATGTATTATACATGGAGATCATATCCCCCCCTTATGTATTATATATGGAGATCATATCCCCCCTTATGTATTATACATGGAGATCATATCCCCCCCTTATGTATTATACATGGAGATCATATCCCCCCCTTATGTATTATACATGGTGATCATATCCCCCCTTATGTATTATACATGGAGATCATATCCCCCCTTATGTATTATACATGGAGATCATATCCCCCCTTATGTATTATACATGGAGATCATATCCCCCCTTATGTATTATACATGGAGATCATATCCCCCCTTATGTATTATACATGGAGATCATATCCCCCTTATATATTATACACGGAGATCATATCCCCCCTTATGTATTATACACGGAGATCATATCCCCCCTTATGTATTATACATGGAGATCATATCCCCCCTTATGTATTATACACGGTGATCATATCCCCCCTTATGTATTATACACGGTGATCATATCCCCCCTTATGTATTATACATGGAGATCATATCCCCACCTTATGTATTATACATGGAGATCATATCCCCCCCGTATGTATTATACATGGAGATCATATCCCCCCGTATGTATTATACATGGAGATCATATCCCCCCCGTATGTATTATACATGTAGATCATATCCCCCTTATGTATTATACATGGAGATCATATCCCCCCCTTATGTATTTTACATGGAGATCATATCCCCCCTTATGTATTATACATGGAGATCATATCCCCCCTTATGTATTATACATGGAGATCATATCCCCCTTATGTATTATACATGGAGATCATATCCCCCCTTATGTATTATACATGGAGATCATATCCCCCCTTATGTATTATACATGGTGATCATATCCCCCTTATGTATTATACATGGAGATCATACCCCCCCCTTATGTATTATACATGGAGATCATATCCCCCCTTATGTATTATACATGGAGATCATATCCCCCCTTATGTATTATACATGGAGATCATATCCCCCCTTATGTATTATACATGGAGATCATACCCCCCCTTATGTATTATACATGGTGATCATATCCCCCCTTATGTATTATACATGGTGATCATATCCCTCTTATGTATTATACATGGAGATCATATCCCCCCTTATGTATTATACATGTAGATCATATCCCCCCTTATGTATTATACATGGAGATCATATCCCCCTTATGTATTATACATGGAGATCATATCCCCCTTATGTATTATACATGGAGATCATATCCCCCCTTATGTAAGAGGGAGGGGCTAGTGGTACAAACGGTAATAACTGTGGGGGATGGGCTGGTAGGAGGAATAGAAGATTCCATTATTAGCTAAGGGCAGGATAGGCTTCCCTGAAGATTGCCTAAAAGTGGGCAGAGTAGGCAATAGTCTGATAGATTGGGGTAGAGAGTTCCAGAGGATGGGGAGGCTCTGGAGAAGTCCTGGAGACGAGCATGGGAGGAGGAGACAAGGGAGCTAGAGCGCAGGAGGTTGTGGTAGAAGCGGAGAGTACGGTTTGGGTGATATTTGGAGACAAGATTGGTGATGTAATTTGGGGCGGCGTTTATAAATGGTTTTATATGTTATTGTTAATATTTAGAATTTTGTTCGTTGGGCAATGGGAAGCCAGTGGAGGGATTGGAAGAGAGGAATGGAGGACACTGAATGGAGGCCAGTGGAGGGATTGGCAGAGAGGGATGGCAGATATGGAACAGGTAGTAAATAATAAAAATAAATAGTAAATGACAACAGTCCTCTGTAATTCACACTTCCATCTTGTTTGTGAAATGGCTCCACCAAGCCAGCCGGTGGACCAAACCTGCCTTTTAGTTACACCAAGTCACAGGTTTCCATTGTGCACCATTACGACCTTCTAGCTGCCGGCGTCCTGACAACCAACGACATCATCAGTTGATAAGGAGGATGTCAGCTGCCTGCACAGCATCCTAGTTTTACTCTCCCCCTGAGCTGAGAGCTGAGAGAAAAACTGAGGGAGAAGAGAAACATTGGCATACTAGTCATTACCAGTGTGCAAAAGTGTATTTGCTTTGGAGGGATAAATCACCTCTAATGTTGGGTGTCCTACATGTGTGGATGTTGCTGCGTTATATAAAACTATTAGAATAGTTTTTTACATTGTAGAATGGGGCTCCTCAAGACTGTCCATCATTTTAAAGGGTGCCTGGGGACTGGCCATAATTTTTGAGGGTGCTTTGACATTTTCAATCATTTTAAAGGGTGTTTTGACTAAAAAAAAAAAAGGGTTGAGAAACACTGCCTTAGACAATAACTGGTTCACTTCTCGGCACCACCACAAAATTAAAAATGTAAAAACAGCAATAAAATGCGCTCACAGTATAAAAAGTCATCACCAGCGGTGTAAACCAACAACTTCCGGTTTTCAGCTCCGTACTGAAAGTGACGTCACTAGGCTCCTCCCTACGCGTTACGCCTCCAACCAATGTGTCTTCGCCAGGGTAAGAAGTACTGCTATAGGGCAGCACAGGTGCGCAAAATCACGTGTGTGTATATATATATGTGTGTGTGTGTGTGTATATATGTATATATATATATATATATATATATATATATGTATGTGTTTTATATATATATATATATACACACACACGTGATTTTGCGCACCTGTGCTGCCCTATAGCACTACTTCTGCTATAGGGCGGATGGGAAGCGGTTAATAGCAAAAAGTCAAAAATATTGCAAGAAGGCTGAACTCTGCCCTTTGTGTGTAGCGCACCCCCAAACTCTGCACTGTGTGTAGCTCACCCCCAAACTCTGTACTCTGCGTGTAGCGCACCCCCAAACTCTGCGTGTAGCGCACCCCCAAACTCTGCAATCTGCGTGTAGCGCACCCCCAAACTCTGCACTCTGTAACGAACTCTGTGTGTAGCGTACCCCAAAATCTGTACTCTTGTGTGTAGCGCACCCCCAAACTCTGCACTCTTGTGTGTAGCGCACCCCCAAACTCTGCACTCTTGTGTGTAGCGCACCCCCAAACTCTGCACTCTGTAACTGCACTCCTGGTATTTTATGCCTCTTTAGGACCCTCCTCCCACTGTTAGTGAAATTTGACCTTACCCACGGGGGGGGGGGGGGGGGTTTTGGGGGGATGTAGTTGAGTTCCTGCACCAATAATCTGAAAAAAAGCCCTGGTTATCAGTATGAAATGATTGGATATTGCCCTTTGAAAGAAAAGTGTTACAATAAGTTCCACAAACTTTTGAACTTGCGACTTCCAAAAAGTTGTCTGTACTTCTACTACTGTGCTTAGCCAATGAAGGAGGTGGTTCTTCACTTTTACAGGTCCAAGGTGAGCTAAGGCATTGCAGTGCCTCCAAGGGAGAACAAACTACGAGCTATTCATAGAATGTCACAAATGTCTCATGTACAGAAGGTTCAAGTACAGACTAAGTGACTCTGAAAAGAGGTGTAAAATGTGCTGAGAGCAAACAATTCCAAGATAAGAATCTGCAGATATTCTGAAACCCCAGCACCTATAGGGCCATACGTGTGCTGTGGACAATAAAGAGGTTTGCCAGGGAAAACTGTTCATATAGAACTAGAGAGGGAGGAGTCTGACTGCTCTATCAGAGTGACTTTGCACTATACATTGAAGCCGCCTTCCCATAAATCCTCATTCAGCGTGCACGTTGTGTAGTAGGAAGTACAGGATCTCCTAAGGACTGCAAGGCACTAACATGGGCTACAGCAACGGCTTCTGGTATTTGCTTACTGTCTTGTGCTCTGTTCTTCACCGCTGCACAGGCTGGGAAAATTCTGGTTATACCTGTAGAAGGAAGTCACTGGATTAATATCAAGGTCCTTATGATGGAGCTGGTCCAGAGAGGACATGAGCTGACGGTCACCCGACCCTCCAACAGCATTTATATTGATGAGACATCAGAACAGTTCAAGGTGGAAAACATTCCCATGTCTGAAACACAAACTCTGAGTCGGAAGGAATTTGAGGAGTACGCCTTGAACTGGATTTTTCAACAAGCTTTTACCAAACATTCCTCCTCTTTTACTGTGGCCTGGGAGTTCATTGAAGCCCTGAAGACTGGTACTCAGATGTCCACAGTTGTCCTCGGGGCAATATTTGAGAATGAAAAGCTCATGGAGCGTTTGGCCAGTGCTGGCTTTGACATGATTCTGGCTGATCCTTACAATGTGGCTGGAGTAATGTTAGCTCACTATCTGAAGCTTCCAATAGTATTTTTCGGGAGGTGGATGCCCACTGAAGATATACACTTTGCGATTGCCCATCTCCACTTTCCTATGTGCCAGTGATAAACTCTCGAGTCACAGACAGAATGGCCTTCCATGAAAGGGTTAAAAATGTGGCCCTTTATTACCTATACTTGGCTGCCAGCCACCTCCTTGTATACCCATCTTATGACAAACTGGCTCAACGCTACCTCAACACCGATATTGGAGTTTTTGAGATGTACAAGAAGGCTGATATCTATTTGATGAAAGTGGACTTTGTGTTCGAGTTTCCAAGGCCAACAATGCCCAATGCTGTATATATTGGAGGATTTCAGTGCAAACCACCTAAACCTCTTCCTGAAGAAATTCAACGATTCATGGACAGTTCAAAGCAAGGAGTGGTGGTGTTTTCATTGGGTACCATTGTTAACAAGCTTCCTCTTAACATTGCCCGAGAAATTGCAGCAGGCCTGGCCCAACTCAGGGAGCAAGTCATTTGGCGTTACTCCGGAGAACCTCTGGACACCTTGGGAAATAACACCATGACTGTTGACTGGCTTCCACAGAATGATCTCCTCAGTCACCCCAACACCAAGGTGTTCCTGGCACATGGAGGTGAGAATGGTGTCTATGAGGCCTTGTACCATGGTGTCCCCATCGTTGGATTTCCACTGTTTGGTGACCAGTATGAAAACCTGCTGCGTCTAAAGAATAAAGGGGCTGCGGTTCTTCTGGAGAACTTGCAAGATATAACTCCCAAAGATTTATTCAATGCAGTGCGCACAGTTATTGATGATCCCTCCTACAGCCGGGCCATGAAGCAACTTTCTGAGTTACACCGAGACACCCCTGTGCCTCCACGGGACCTGGCTGTGTTCTGGACAGAGTATGTCATGCGCCATAAAGGAGCAGGTCACCTGCAGCCTGCAGCCAATGACCTGGCCTGGTACCAGTACTACCTGCTCGACGTGATTGGCTTTCTCCTCATAACAGTTTTTGTTTCAGCCTATGTGACAATAAGAATCTTTCGAGCCGTGCTAAGGACCTTCTGCTGCCGGAAACAGAAGAAACAGAAGCAGAAGAAGCCATAAAATGATCTTCATCTGGGAGTGGTCACCACTGGAAGTGGTTTTCTAGAAGCGTCTTTGACCTTAGGTGAAAATATCCACAAGTACGTTTTTGGAACCAATTTAAAGAAACCAGAAAATACACAACATCAGACATCTTAAGATGCCAACTCTTACCTTTCCTACACTCCTGCCACTCAACTCCTCACCTGGAGGGGTTGATTTCCTATAACTGGAGAAGTCACAATCTGGTGCAGCTGTGCATGGTAGCCAATCGGCTTCTAACTTCAGCTTGTTCAGTTAAGCTTTGACAATAAAACCTGAGAGCTGATTGGCTACCATGCACAGCTGCACCAGATTTTGCACTCTCCAGTTTTAGTTAATCAGCCTCGAGGCCTGGAGAAAAATGTGTTCCTTCTAGATATGAGGTCCAGGGACAGTCTACAATTCTATGAAGAATGTCTGCATGACCAATCCCCAGGACTTGGCACAGAGGGGCAAAGGTGGGGGGATTATCATGCTTCACTTTGTGCAAAGAGTGACTTTCAGAACATCCATTTGTCAATAGAAATTTCAGGGAACCCCAGCTGGAGCACAAGGAAGGGAAGAGTGGACACCAAGGGCGGACTGACCATTTCGAAACTCGGGCACCGCCCGAGGGCCCAGGGTCGGTAGGGGGTCCCATGAGATGCCCCTGGTACCTTTTTCATAGGCTTTTTTGAGTTTGGGCAAGGACACAGGGGCCCCATGATCGCCTATTGCCCGGGGGCCCCATGAGTTGTCAGTCCGCCGCTGGTGGACACCTTACAGCTGCATGTATTGCTTTGCCTAGTCTGGACAAAGTATGGGTTTCTTTCAGAAGGTTCATCCATACAAAGTGACATCTCCATTATGGGTAGATGCTAGGAGACTAAATCACCCACTATTTTCTTTTATCAGATGGATACCTACAACGAAGATCTCCATACTGGGGTTCCCAATTCTCCCTCCAGCACTGTGGAGTCTCAGGTTTTTTTTGCTGATTCTTTATGATGTCAAATAAATGAAAATCAAAGTGAAGAATTGGATTTTCTGTCATTCTCACTCTGGCGGATGGTTAATGTGTGACTGAAGGTAAAACCTTTTTTTAAATTTTGGATAAAGTAGAGAGGCATTTGAACCCCTGTCATGGTTTTATTGCTGTCTGTGCCCCCATTTGGGAGATTCATCCTCTCTACTGGTCCTAGCAGGGCAGCACAGTGGCTAAATGGTTAGCACTTCCGCCTGGCAGTAGTAAAAGGGTTGTTGGTTTGAATCCCAACCACGGCACCACCTGCCTGGAGTTTGCATGTTCTCCCTGTGCCTACGTGGGTTTCCTCCGGGTACTCCAGTTTCCTCCCACACTCCAAAGACATGCTGGTAGGTTAATTGGCTCCTGTCTAAAGTGGCCCGAGTATGTGTATGCATGAATGTGAGTTAGGGACCTTAGATTGTACGCCCCTTGAGGGTTAGGGACTGATGTGAATGTACAATATACAGTGGGGCATATAAGTATTTAGTCACCACCAATTGTACAAGTTCTCCCACTTAAAAAGATGAGAGAGGCCTGTAATTGGCATCATAGGTAGACCTCAACTATGAGAGAAAATGAGAAAAAATCCAGACAATCACATTGGCTGATTTGGAAAGAATTTATTTGCAAATTATGGTGGAAAATAAGTATTTGGTCAATACCAAAAGTTCATGTCAATACTTTGTTATATATCCTTTGTTGGCAATGACAGAGGTCAGACGTTTCCTGTAAGTCTTCACAAGGTTGGCACACACTGTTGCTGGTATGTTGGCCCATCCTCCATGCAGATCTCCTCTAGAGCAGTGATGTTTTGGGGCTGTCGCTGGGCAACACGGACTTTCAACTCCCTCCAAAGGTTTTCTATGGGGTTGAGATCTGGAGACTGGCTAGGCCACTCCAGGACCTTGAAATGCTTCTTACGAAGCCACTCCTTCGTTGCCCGGGCAGTATGTTTGGGATCATTGTCATGTTGGAAGACCCAGCCACGTTTCATCTTCAATGCCCTTGCTGATGGAAGGAGGTTTGCACTCAAAATCTCACGACACATGGCCCCATTCATTCTGTCCTGTACATGGATCAGCCGTCCTGGTCCCGGAGAAACAGCCCCAGAGCATGATGTTGCCACCCCCATGCTTCACAGTAGGTATGGTGTTCTTTGGATGCAACTCAGCATTCTCTCTCCTCCAAACGTGACGAGTTGTGTTTCTACCAAACAGTTCTTTTTTGGTTTCATCTGACCATATGACATTCTCCCAATCCTCTTCTGGATCATCCAAATGCTCTCTAGCAAACCTCAGACGGGCCCAGACATGTACTGGCTTAAGCAGGGGGACACGTCTGGCACTGCAGGATCTGAGTCCCTGGCGGCGTAGTGTGTTACTGATGGTAGCCTTTGTTACGTTGGTCCCAGCTCTCTGCAGGTCATTCACTAGGTCCCCCTGTGTGGTCCTGGGATTTTTGCTCACTGTTCTTGTGATCATTTTGACCCCACGGGGTGAGATCTTGCGTGGAGCCCCAGATCGAGGGAGATTATCAGTGGTCTTGTATGTCTTCCATTTTCTAATTATTGCTCCCACAGTTGATTTGTTCACACCAAGCTGCTTGCCTATTGCAGATTCAGTCTTCCCAGCCTGGTGCAGGTCTACAATTTTGTTTCTGGTGTCCTTCGACAGCTCTTTGGTCTTCACCATAGTGGAGTTTGGAGTGTGACTGTTTGAGGTTTGTGGACAGGTGTCTTTTATACTGATAACAAGTTCAAACAGGTGCCATTGATACAGGTAATGAGTGCAGGACAGAGGAGCCTCTTAAAGAAGAAGGTACAGGTCTGTGAGAGCCAGAAATCTTGCTTGTTTGTAGGTGACCAAATACTTATTTTCCACCATAATTTGCAAATAAATTCTTTCCAAATCAGCCAATGTGATTGTCTGGATTTTTTTTCTCATTTTGTCTCTCATAGTTGAGGTCTCCCTATGATGCCAATTACAGGCCTCTCTCATCTTTTTAAGTGGGAGAACTTGTACAATTGGTGGTGACTAAATACTTTTTTGCCCCACTGTACATGTAAAGTGCTGCGTAAATTTATGGCGCTATATAAGTACCTGTAATAAAGAATCGTAAATGAGAATCCCAAATTGTGGGTTCTCACCAGAACAAGAAAAGAGGGGAAATCTTCTAATGGAGGACACTGGTTCTGGTTATTAGACATGCGTTTTGTTTTTATTAGGAATCGAAATTCTGACAACATTTTGTTATTCGGAGATTTGGATGTATCTGAATTTGCGAATCACAATAGTAACGAACTTCGATGAATACGAAATAAATAATAAAATGAATTATCCAAATTCGAAAATTAATTTGAATTTGCAAAATAATATGAATACAAAATAGAGACATATTGAAATAAATACAGTAAGGACAAATGTGAAATAAGATGATGATTAGGCTGCTTTATAGTATAGAATAGACAATACAAGAATACAATATAATAGAAAATAAAAATAGAATAGAATAAAATAGAATAGACAATACAAGAATTAAATATAATAGGAAATAAATTAATAGACCAGAATAGAATAAAATAGAATAGACAATACAAGAATACAATATAATAGAAAATAAATGAATAGAACAGAATAGAATAAAATAGAATAGACAATACAAGAATTAAATATAATAGGAAATAGATTAATAGACCAGAAAATAATAACATAGAATAGACAATATAAGAATAAAATATAATAGGAAATAAATGAAAAGAATAGAATAAAACAGAATAGACAATACAAGAATAGAATATACTAGAAAATAAATTAATAAAACAGAAAATAATAGAATGGAATAAAACAATAGAATAAAAAATCATCACAGAGGACAAGGGGGCACTCTTTACGTCTGGAGGAAAAGAAATGTAATCTCCAAACACGGAAAGGTTTCTTCACAGTGAGAGCTGTGAGAATGTGAATAGACTCCCTCAAGAGTTGGTTGTGGCCAGCTCAGTGGATTGCTGTAGGAAAGTCCTGGATTCTTTCTTGGATACACAGAATATAACTGGATATACCATTTATAGGGAAAGTTGATCCAGGGAATATCTGATTGCCTCTCGGGGGATCAGGAAGGAATTTTTTTCCCTGCAGGAGCAAATTGGATCGTGCTTTGCTGGGTTTTTTGCCTTCCTCTGGATTAGTGGTGGGTGTAGGATTATAACTTTTTTTTTTACATTTTAATGGCTGAACTGGATGTCTTTTTCAGCCAGACTAACTATGTAGAAAATAAAAGAATAGAATAGACATGAAAAGAATAGAATAGAAACAATAGAATAGAATGAATATAGCCATCTTCCAAAATTTGAATTTTAAAATTCAAACTTTAAATTTTAAAATTCAAATCGATTTGCAAATAACAAATACAAATACAGATTGCAAAAAATAAATAAAAATGACGGAAATGCATATAAACGCGGTTACACACGTTTACAAGTGTTTTGCGTTTGAAAAGTCGGTAAAATCTACTCCTGAACGCAAGTTTGGTGCCTTCAAAAAAAAACGACTGTAAACTCAGCTGCCTGTGAATGACTGTAAAAGACTGTAGACGACGATGAGTACATGGACACATAGGAAAACATTAGGGAGAGTTCAGGGGCTGCTGGAAAAAAAACGCAGAAAAGCTCCTGAACGTCATTTTATCAGCCGCAGTGTACATGACGCCTTAAGGCTCCATGTACACGGGACATTTCTGAACAATGGGAAACTGACTGCTGGAAAATGTAGGTTAAAAAACGTCTGTTTAGCCGCGTTTGCGTTTAGAAGCGTTTTTTAAAGATAACCTCAGGAGACCTTCCAAAATGCCCAGAATGCACTGAGAAACAGTAAAAAAATTAACTATTTCAGACATTTTGAGAAAAATAGAGAGAGTAGAAGCAGAGAGAGCAGTATGTGTTGAGATTAGCTATCTTTCTTTCTTTTGTGGTGTTTGG